TAAAAAAGCGGTAATTCTCCATATCAGCTGAGCGTAGTTACAGATGCCATCCATGCATGCACATGCTTGGTTTCACAAAGGGATTTTACAACTCTGACACGTAACAGGATGTCCTGCAATAACTTTTTAACTCCTCCCACTGTCTAGATAAACTATAGGATTAACTAACAACTGAACTACATTACACAGAAGCCATCTCTTAAGGAAACAGCGTTTAACCCTTTAAATGCTACATGTTCTTACATACAGTTATCTCAGTGCTATAACATTAACCCTGTAAATGCTAAATACTCTAACACAGTTCTAGCTGGCTACAATCAGCTGGCTACAATCCTGCACAGTCGTTCATTCTGAGCATTAGCTTTCCTGACTTTGTTCTTACAGATTTGGACTATTTGCTAGTATTCTGTTTTAGTTATGTATCCATCTTTCCATTTTTTATACTTATCCTTTCTCAGCTTATCAGAGAGTTCTTTGTGAAATGCTGGTTTCATCTAGGACAGTGGTTCTCAACCTTTTTAATGCCGCGACCCCCAACCGGTCGTAAGTCGAGGACTAAACCGGTCGTAAGTCGAGGACTAAACCAGTCGTAAGTTGAGGACTAAACCGGTCGTACATCGAGGACTACCCAACCGGTCGTAAGTTGAAGACTTTCCTTGCCCGGGAGCGCCGCGCATGCGTGGTTCCGCCCCCTGCGCCAGCCGAGGCATAGCTGGCAAGCGGCAGAGACAGAGCAGGCTGACCACCAGCTGGCCCAGCCCAAGGGAGGTAAGGCACCCACCGGAAAAGGGGAAAAAATGGCGGACAGCCTTGCTTGGCGACCCCCATGAAATGGTCGATCGACCCCAAATGGGGTTGCAACCCATAAGTTGAGAACCGCTATCTAGGAGGTCTCTTTTTCTTTCTTTCTGGTATTTTGTTAAACTGGGCCTTTATAATCTCATTTTTCAGAGTTTCCCAAGTCCCTTGATTTGTTTTCTCTTTAGGATTTCTGTCCATGGAATCCTTCCTAAGTTCTATCTAGGTTTGCTGAAGTCAGCTCTCTTAAAGTAGTTCTTCTGTTGCTTGTGTCTGCGTTATATTGAATTCTAGTATGACATGGTCACTCTCCCCCTTCTATCATTCCATCCCTATTAGTAAGAGTTAAATCCAGCATACTGGCCTCTAGCTCTCTCCTCTATTGTTTGGATGACAAAGTTGTCAGCTAGGTTCATCAGAAACCTGTTTGATCTCCCACTTGGTGCAGAATTTGTCTCCCAATTAATGCCAGGGTAGTTAAAGTCCCCCATCACTATTGTGGTGTGGTTCCTGTACACCTTTAATTATTTAGCAAAAAAGTTAATCTATTTCCTTTGCTTGGTTGAGCGGCCTGTAGTGTATACCAATGGCAATGTCATTCATTTTCATTTTATATTAATTCAAATGCATTCAAAGAGGTTTGGTTTTCTGTAGAGATGTAGTTATTTCTTACATATAATGCCACACCATCTCCCCTTTTATTAGGTCTGTTTCTTTTGAACAATTTAAATCCTTCTAGCAATATGTTCCAGGTATGGGTGAAGAACCCTAGTGGACCTGAAGGTATAAACCATATGATAAAGTTATGCATATGCTGAACCTCAGGAAGTCATTGTATAAATGCCATAGGGAGACACTGATTGTTCAAGATAGAGAAAGGTTGCATTCTTTCACCTTTCTTAGTCAATGCCAAAATGATTGTGAGGAAGCTGGAACTTGAAGAATCAAAAATTAAGTAAATATTGGAGGAAAGAACATCAACTGTCTTCAGTATGCTGATGACATAATTTTCATCTCAGAAAGCAAAACAATCCTGAAGTATATGATCAAAGGAATTAAAGAAGAAAATGAGAAATTTCGCATCTTTCTGGACATCAAAAACACCAAGCTCATGACCACTGTGAGGAATAGAAATGTTAAAATAACAATTGAGAGTGAAGAGATCAAATGTGTGCTAGAATTCACTTTTGTAGGATCACAGATTGATCAAAGCACTGAAAGCAGTCCAGAGATAAAGTATTAAACAGTACTGGGCTGCACAGCATTGATGAGCATGAACTAAGGACAGAAAAGCAAAGACATTTGCAATTAAATGCATGTTTCCCACAGCAATATAGAGTTGCAAAATAGGACTATAAAAAAACTAGATAGAGGAAAATTGACTTATTGAAGTTAGACAAGGATCCTGCACATTGCTTAAACAGCAAGGGTAGCCCCATTCACCACAAGCTACTCTAAAGAAATTGCAGCAAATATTGAAGTGTATAAAATCAGATATAATGCTGGACAGTTGCATCTGGGACTGGAAACCTAGTCATAAGTCATTATGGTCATTAAATCAAGGTGTCCACACAACTGGAAGTGTTTTTCTGACATTTTTCATCATGGTCGTCATGCAAATGCAGTGATATTAACCAAATCTATTCATTCAAATGGTATTTGAATTGGTGAAAAATGCCAGAAACCAGCAAAAAAAATCCTAAATCTCGATTACATGAACTTGTAATGTCACAACTGATAAAAAGGTGACTGGCTGCCTAGAATTCTGAGCTATCAAATCAGTGAATGTATAATGCATTGGATCCAACATCTTTAGAAGCAGGAGAGTCAACTTGATTATTTCCTGCCTTTGACCAATGTTTTATACAAGTCAAATACTACCTATATTGAATTAAAAACTTTATGAACAGATTGTGTATGACAATAAATGTGATTTTCTAATAAAATGACTATATAGAAACATGACAAGTTAACAAAGATGAGTTCATGTAATATTGAAATAGATTAGATGAGAACTCATCTGTGGATTTTACAGCTGAAAGAATAGGAACAGTGCCATTTGGGCTGATAAATTTGTATACTAGGTTGTACCATATAGACCTAAAGATACTTTTATTAGAACAACTACAGTAATAGAATCTTGCAAGTCTGAATGTGCTTCCCTTCCTTCCTCTTTTAACTTCATGTGAATTGGATGGGGCTATCTGAGGTGTTTTCCTAAAACACTTTCTTAGTCTGGGCTCAAGCCTCATTTATCTGATTGTTGCCTTGATAATGGATCTTTCTTCTGTCTTTCAGGTTCATCCTCTATAATTATAATAATCAAAATATGTTTTGACATTCTGGTTTAAGGAAATGTATTTAAATACTAGAGATATCTGTAGTTTGATATCATGATCAAGATATTAGGCTAGAAAGTGGGAGACCATTGTGGAAAGTCAGCCTCCCCAGAGAAGGAAATATTAAAAAGGGCAAAATATTATATTTCCCCAAAGGATCTTAAAGGCAGAACACCCCCCCCCAAGTCTCTCTGCCCCAAACAGAAATAAGGTCTTCAGAAATGCAGATGTGATAATCTTGTCAAAAAGATTGGAGCCAGGAAGCTTGGATTAAAAAGCTAAAGATCCCTAGAATCAACAATCCCTCACACCAAAAATCCAACAGTCATCAGTCACAGCCCCAGGGAAGCAGGATATGACCTTTGGGATATAATAGGATTAATCCACCACCATCAGAATACCAGAAAGGCAAACTCAGACTCAGGTCAAAGTTCATGCCACAGGAACAACTCCAAACAAAAGCCCAAGAAGGTATAAAAACCTACCACTCCCTACTATATGTGGTCAGTTTTTCCCAGAGCCATCTTTCTGCCTGGCTCTCTTTTTCAATAAACTGCAACCTACTTTCTAAAGCAGTCTCCATTTTGATTATTCCCAGCTTGGACTGGATCCTGATGAAGATTTTTCTTTCAACATCATGAACACTAGTTCTGCCTTAGGCATGAAACCAGTTGGGTGATGTTAAACCAGTCACTGTCTCTCAGCCCTAGGAAGCAGACATTGGCAACCTCTGAAAACTTTGTCAAGAAATTTCCGGGAATTGTCCTGTGCAAGTGGAAAGATTTACATTGGCTTTGTTCACTCATGATCATGAACCACAAATCAGCCAATCATAGTTTAGCCTATGTGCTATATAAAGTCCCTGATTGTTAGTTTACAGTTTGATACATCATCTCCATAAAGTCAGGTTAACCAAATAGACTATGGTTAAGTTTTCCATCATCTTTTTAACATACTCTGATGGCCATGTTTTCAAAAACAGCAGTGTAACCTCAAAGTTACCAATTCATGCAAGATCTTTGAAGCAGAAAACTTTGCAGACTTAATATATTTGTTTAATAAATAAAAATAAATTATACTTCCCATATAAGTACACTGTTTTCTTATGGGTGAAGAATTTTTTGAAGTTGACCACCATTCTTCCACAAATAAAATCAAGCTGAGCATGTACTTCAGTATTCTTTGTTTTATATGACAACCTAGATTAGACCATTATATGTTCTTTGGTTTTTGACTCAGATTGGTGAGTCTTGTTCCATAAATCATAATTTAAACATTCAAAACAATGTGTAAACCCATTTAAATGACTTAATTAAATCAGGAAGTTGGGTTGCACATTCATGCCAAGAAGACTCTCCTCTATATCTTTTAGAGGCTGGATCCCCTAACCTCTATTTTAAACACCTCACAGCTGACTGGATTCCAAATTTAATTCAAAAATACAGTTTTACAAACCACAATAATGAGATTCACACACCAGACAAGTAATAAAATGTTAACTTTGGCTGGAGTTTGCCTTAACACATTGATTGAGGATTGCCACAAATCCCACTCTTCCATTACAGAGCAGCAGACCAAGGTGATAGCCCCATTCACCACAAGCTACTCTAAAGAAATTGCAGCAAAAATAATTTCAAACAGGCCCACATTAGATTGTACCACAGAGTTCATGTACTAAAGATATAAACCCTGACAGCTGATTTTTCCTCTTTGTTTTCTGAAAGGGGGATGGAGGGGGGATTATTATTTTCTGGTCTCAAATCAAGAAAGAAGCCTGAAGATTTGACTAAGAATTGCAATATACAGGCCCAAAGTTTCTGGAAGCCATGTTACTTACACTGAGAATTAGAAATAAAGCCTTACCTTTAATTTTGTAGCCAAAACTGACAACCTTCAATAAGGCAGTGTGACTTCCTTTCCAGATCTACAGAATGGGAGGGAACTGTGGAGGGTTTTAGCCAGTCAGAGGCCTCAAGAAACACAGCCAAGGAAACCAAAGGTCCCCATTGCCTAATCTCCGTGTGCAAAATAGGTGGAGCTGGGAAGGCTGATTGAGAGGAGCAGAACTGAATGATCTGGTTTTTCTTCTAGAAGAAGAAAAGATTAAGAGGGTTCAAAAAAACGGAACAGATATGGTATGGTGCTTTCAGTTGCTGAGCTTTACTTTATTTTTCTGCCCAGTCATTTCCAAAATTTTCCTTCTTTCCCACAGAACTTTAGAAGCTGGCAAAGCTAATGAGTTTCCATATTCTGGTGCAGTACTTTGAGAACACAATAAAGGAAAATATTGTCTTTTCAGCAGTCAGACGTAGTTCAATTGAACACAGATATGTCTTTTGATCTATCTGTCCCATGCTCTTCAGCAGTGGTACTGCAGGCACAAAATTAAAATTGCATCAACCCAAATGTGTTGGGAAAGGTGATGTTGATTCTGGACAGGTGGCAGCTGTTGGAGGATCACAGAAAAGGCACTCGGGGAACATACTGTAACATAGATTCACCAGTTTAGCAGGTTACCTCAGCTACTTGATCAGCCTATTGATTGATTTTTTTACTTCCTTTTCTGTTTTTTCCCCCTGAAACAAGATGGTCAGAACACAAACACTGATCTCATCTGTTTCACTTTACAGTTTGTATCTGATGATAGAATTGCATCACCTCTGTAAATAAGATGGTCTGAAATTGTCTAGTGGTAGCTAGTGGTAGTGGGATAAGTGGTGCTGAGTGTTCTGTTTCCAGATCAGGAGACAGCAATTTCTTGAGGTTTTCCAAATTAACTAAATGGAGGGAGAATCTGCTCATTTCTGACTACGGTCAGCTATATAGAATCATGTTTTGAATCTTAACCTTGGGGAAGTCCCAAATAGTATAAGCAACCTGCAATTGTGTCTTGCATTAAGCCAAGGACAATCACACACACACACACCCCGGAAAAAGGCCCCATTTATAACAAAAGTCTTTTAAGACACAGAAAAGCCAAAGAAAACTGCACAAGCTGTGAAAGGTAAAAAAAAGTAACACCATTTCCATTTTTTTTCCTCCACTCAAAGCTGTCAGATAAATAGCCTTGTGCAGACTGGCAAGGGCTTTAACTTAAAGAAAAAACAACAATGTTGCAATCAGAGGTGTGAGTAGCTCTAGCTAGCTGTTGCAAAAACAAAAACAATGAATGCGGCCTGTTAATTTACAGAAATAGCTTTCCAGAGGCTCTTCTAGACAGCTAGAGATAAAGGATAAAAATTAATTACATCTGTTTAACCAGCTTAAGCCAAGGAAGCTGACACTTTATACCCATTACTATCCCTTACGAAACAAGCTAGCCAAAATCAAATAGCAAATACACAAAAGTAAGCCTCTAGTCTTCAAAACGCTGTAAAAAAATGTATAAAAACTCATGTGTTCAATAAACCAATTTGCTGGCTGACCTGGAATCCATTGCTGCTGTTAACAGTGCCATTGGCTTCTGAAATAAACCAGCCTCCTTTCCGATACACTCATCTCCCGGCTCTTCATTTCATTGGCCTGATAGTGCTTTCCCAGCTGGAAAAAGTGAACCGCAGGGGCATTTTCTTTCCACAATTCTGGCTAGCTAGGCAGGAAAATCCAGCTAACCCAGCCACCGGACCAATCCAGAGGATCGTCACCCAGCCGGCAACAAATTTTCTTTGTCTGTGGGTGACCTCCACAGACCCTGCCGGGTGGCATAAAGGCTAGTAAAGGGAATTCTTGAAGCTGTGCGCTTGACAGCTGGTCGGAAAAGAGGTGAGTACCACTAAATTTAAAATTGTTAAGGGAGCCCAAGGGGAGTGAATATAAGAAGTGTGTGAGCATGAAAGAGACAATCCTCATCCATTGCAGCTGGATCCCACCTCCTCTATGCTCTTTCCCAATTGCACCCAGGTTTGCTGTGAGTCCCACCATACTAAGACTGGCAAAATTCTGGAAAGCAAGGGGGCTTGACCAGAGTGTGGGACTTTTTGCCAGGAGAAAGGGAATTCATGTGAAAGAGAGACAAGGTGTGATAGGGGTTTCACATTCAGGCAACTGAGCAAAATCTTTGAGCAAAGTTCCACTCTTTCAGGAGGGACACTCATACTCCGCAAAAAAGGAAGATAGAATCCTCTTAGATCTCTTTGTGGTCTGAAACTGGGGCAGAGGGGCAAAGGCTGAAAGACTGCTTTACCAAGGCAAGGGGCAAGGGCGATTCAAAAGAGTTGCTTTACCAGGGGCAAGGGCCATAAGATTTGCCTTACCAAGGGCAGAGGACTCAAAGAGACAGTCACTCTGCAAACATAGGAGAGTCAAGGAGGGAATCTCACTGCTCTTCCATCAGTCAACAAAAAGGAGAAAAAAGGAAGAGAAAGAAAATCCCATTTTTTAAGTCTAACTCTAACTTTCTTTTTGTGCCAAGCAGGCTTCCATACCAGTGCCTTTAAATCCTCAGTGTCAATGCTGCAAATACTGTATATTCTTCCTTTGACAATGTGCTTTCTCCTAAATGCTTTTAGGAGAAAATATGCCTGAAAGTCCTTTTAAGTGTTTCGTTAATCAGACACATGACACTCAGATGGCTCTCCCTTCATTCCTACACATGCTATTTGAATCAAGGGAGAGCATCCATTTATCAATTTTTCAAAGGAACTGGCCCCTTTTTGATCATTAGATTGTTGCCCTAATAGTTCAAATCTCCATGTTTGGTTTAAAATATTTATTGTCAGCTCAGTCTGTTCTTCTTCTTCTTCCAGTTTCATCTGGCTAAAATAAGAGGACATGTCCAGTGTTGTAGTTGTTAAGATAAGATAAGATAAGATAAGATAAGATAAGATAAGATAAGATAAGATAAGATAAGATAAGATAAGATAAGATAAGATAAGATAACCTTTATTGTCATTTTTATACTGTGGGCACAATGGCACATATCAAAAATGAAATTTAGTTGCCCACTCTCAAAGTGAAACACATACATGACATACACCTAAACATACTATGAACAACATATGTATAGACCCACATCCCTACACATACATAGCAATAAATATTAAATATTGTCCATCTTGAATATATAACGGAAGGAGGAAGCTTGAGAGTTCGCAAGGTTAATGCTGTATGGAATGACACTCTGGCTGAATCTGGATGTTCTGCTTCGGATTGTTGTTTAATTGTCTAGATTATCTAGGTTCTCAGTATGTTGTGTTTGTTGTTCTTTAGCACCCTCTATCTTAGTGTTGCTTTCTTCAGTTTCTGTTGCTTTTTGAGTTGCAGGTTCTTTAATTGAAATCAAGGTTTGATTGTCAAAGTTCTCTACAAATTGTACTTGTTGTGTAGAATACTCTTTGATATTAATTTGTTCCTCTTCTGTTGTTTGTTGGATTGTAAGTTCATCAGTTGAAATCTGGGCTTCAATTTGTAATTTTAAGGTGACATCTTTGTCTTTCACTCTGGAATTCATTAGCTCAGTGGCTTCAAGGATTTTTTCAAGTATGAGTTTATAGTTAAGTTGTGGGTAGAATTCCTCCATTTCTGTGGTGATTAGAGATAGTCCTTTAGTGGAGGCTATGTTTAATAAAAACAGCAGATGTCCACCTTCACTATTCCTAGAAGTTGTTTTCACCACCCAGCTGTTTCAAATTCTTATCTTTTTTAGATAGTACGAAGGACAAATCTAGGGAGTAAGCAGGCCTCACAGTCAAAGAAATTCACTTGCTGTACCAGGCTTCGCCACAAGATGTCCCCAATAGCATATAAAGTCTTTTTCCAGACACAAGTTAGGCTTTTATCCAGTTTAATTTTTTTTCCCAATTTAACAAATAAATAAGGTAATAGGTCCCTGTAACAATAGGAACTTTTTGGGACCCCAAATATCCAAAAAGTACAAGTCCAGTTATTTAGTTGTTTAGATTAGTTGTTCTTTTCTTTTCAAAGCTTTATTTTCCAAAGATAGGCAGATGCTGCTATGTTAAAAGCGGGGAAGAAATTTCAGAAGGCTTTACAGGAAGATAGTTGGGATACAAGAAAAGTAAGGTAAGGTCTCACCAATTCCTCCGCGGTGCTTTTGTTTTGCTTGGTGGTGATTTTGGCTTTGAGCTGGTACGGCTTAGTGATCGGCCATGTTGATGGCCGATCTTTTCTCCATCGGTCCAAAGAAGCTGCCTCGGATCTGTTAAGGGTCCTCCTCACAGTCACCTCTCAAGGGCGACTTACGATCCTTTTCAGGGTCGCCCGATGAAGGGAAACTGGGCGGTGGAGAGAGCGCTCCTCCCGCACGTCCGCTAGTGCCACGATCCAGAACCAGAAGTCGGCACCCACTAATTTTGAAGGTCCCTCACGATGACTTTGCCATCCTCCTAAAGTCCCAGACTCAGGCTTTTACCCAACAGCATCTGACACAATATGAGGCTGAGCTTTTTACATCAAATCATATTTCTTTTGAATGCTGCACCCCCTTAAGTCCAGCCACCCTGCTATCAACTGAACAATCGGAGGACATCATACATGACTGCCTACACCTGGTTCAAAATGCTGAATTGTCCCGACCTGACCTAACCAACATCCCCTTGCAGAACCCTGACCGCATGCTTTTCACTGATGAGTCCTCTTACATACACGAGGGAACCAGGGTGTCAGGGGTAGCAGTTATCTCTCTCCATGAAATCATATGGGCTGCATCACTCCCATCTAGCACTCAGGCAGCCGAACTCACAACTTTAAGCATGTGAAGCCTCTGTTGCTTCAATTTAAGTGAAAATTCAGAACTTATAGAGAGCAATATAAAAAATCTCAAGGAGCTAACAAAAAATATTGGCTATGAAAAATCTCCCTTTGATCTCTCAGGGCTCTTCTCATAGCTTCCAGACTTTCACTGGTTAAAATCCCTCCTTCTGGGAGGAGTTACAATGAACCTTATAGGAGCTCTCCTCTGT